TGATATATAAGAATGGTACATATATTATATAAAATTACATTGGTATACAATCTACAGTTTCTATAATATTATGGAAGTGTTTTGAAGTTCATGCAACGTATGCCTATTATATAATCACAATAACCATTCCATTGTATTTCTAATCTTTACGCTTTCGTTTACGTATATGAGATTTTTCAGTGTTTCGTGAAAGAGTGATAATCAGTAAAAGTTTCTATCATCACACTTAAAGCAGTTCATTTGTGATTCGTCTTCACATTCTGATGTCTCCGTTGGTGTTGATACCACCCTATGATTTTGAAGTAACTGATGCAGTTGATACAAGCGATCATTAATAGTACGCTGGTGATGGGAAGCAAGTAAGATAAGTAAGAGGTGAGAAGAGCCACAGGTTCTTCTAATAAAGTCATTTAACATAACACAATTCCCACAATTCCAGCAAATAATTATTACGATAATTATAATTAAAGCAATACAGATAATACCAAAAAAAAACAAATATTTTATAACAACAAGTTAAAAACAGTTTAGACATTTTGCAATTCAAAGATTAGTAATTGTTACAATTTATATCAAATTAATAGTTGCTTCGTGGATAAATCAAAATTACATCACTTGTGTTTACTGAGAACTTACTATATCCACTTCATTACCGGTTTGAAGTTAGAAAAATAAACTTGTCATTGTCTGGAATATAGCGTAGGGAATATTTATATTATCTGTAATAGGGGTTTTTTTTATTAGCATATATGTACAAAAAAAAGATACCAGCTAAATGTTATATAAATAAATAGATCAAATAAATCGAATAATAAGAATGTATATTATTGAATAATTAACTTTGATTCATTTGAAATCTCATATCTAATTTCTTTTACTAAATTACTCCCTAATAATATTTACTGCTTGATTACTAATTGTTTTTTTTTATCATGATCCTATGTATGGCTCGCGAGTCATAAGTGGTTCACGAGCCTAATATTTGTTCAAAAATATTATTAGACGATTTGATAATGTTTATTTAATCACCTAAAAATATTATTTTATTAAGTCTAAAAATAATATTATTGGGCTATTTAAATAATAATTTTTATTAAATTGCCTAAAAATAATATTTTTAAATGATTTAATAATTAATCGTTTAAAAATAATATTTTTAGACGATTTCATAATTGGTCGCTTAAAAATAATATTTTTAAGTGATTAATTATGAATTATTTATTAAATCATTTAAAAATATTATTTTTAGGCGATTAATTATGAAATATTATTTTTAGGAGATTAATTATGAATACCTATCCAGATAAAAGGATATCCGTACAAAATTACAAATTGGAAATAATTCATGATTATTACCACATATAAAACATTTTATTTTAATATGTGAATGTCAAAAATGGTACTAATTAACCTTAAAGACAAAAATGATTTGCGTATCATATTAAAGAACAGATCTATATCATCAAAATTGAGAGAACTATTAGCGGTTAAATTTCGACAATTGTTCGCCCGTTCGAAATTTAACCGCTAATGGTTCTCTCAATTTTGATGATATAGGTTTGTTCTTTTAAATATAATACGTAAAAGATACTTATATTTAAGGTTACTTAGTATTGTTTTTGATATTTACTTATTAAAATAAAATGTTTCATATGTAGCAACCATCAATGATTATTTCCGA